GTCACCCAATCTCGTTCTCATAATGGACAAAAATGATCTTAGTTAACACTTTCGCCGTAAATCGATGCGTACGGCCGTCTGTTAGAAGCTATTTTAGTCGACTGTGTATTCACACCTGCCTTGTTTGGATCGATTGAATCGAACTCTAGTTCGTTTCCCCCCTTGGTGCGGACCCCAGTGGCGGAGCCAGGATTTTTTCATAGGGGTGGCCAGGCAGGGGCCAGCAAACAGTCTGGGGTGGCACATAAATCTTAATTATTTTAACATAATAATTAGTTTAAATAATCTATTGGACTGTTCCTACACAACTGAATACAGTTCATTTGTATTCAATTGTAGCTAATTGAGAGAGTATAGTGAATTAGGAATCATGGAATACTGAGTGAATTTGATTTTTTTTTTAATTATTATTAGCTACTTACCACCTCCAGGAATAATAATAAAGGGGACACACACTATAGCTAAAGTTATTTAGTCATATAGTAAACTTGCTCAGTTAGCATGGTTCTGGTTCACAAAAACCCCCAACATTGTTGCACCTTCATGGATGAGACATGCAGATAACTACTGTAGTTCAAAGATTATACCCTTCATTGAATTTTATATAATCAATTAACTCTTCAACTTTCTATATTAGTAGTCAAAATAAAGAATCTAAACCGTTCTATCATACCTAATTAAAAAGGGGGGAAACATCTCTTTTGAATCGCTATGTGCAAGAATGTGAAGTCAACATGCACATAAATGGCAGAATATAAAATTAGTTATTTTATGGATTTAAAAATTATGCATTTTATTTTGTCCTTTACAAATTAACGCAAAATTAACGCCTATCTTCTAGTACAAATGCACAGTGCTCACATTTATTTGTACATTAAAAAAACACATAGCCTGTCAGTTTGTGCCTTAAACATGGCAGAATATTTTAGTCTAGACATATGTGACGCATATATAACAAATACATACATGCATGCAGTTTTGACACAGATTGTATCGCCTTTTTGATGATTTCATGAGTTAATTGACAACAGAACTACGGCTACAGCACGCCACATTTACGCGTGATGTGCAAGTACAGTACAACGTCTGACAGGACAGTAAAAAGTTAGTTTAACTGACATTTGTTGACCTTGCAACATTCATCTTACAGCAGATAGCCAACTGATTCAGGACAACGCGCTTTTCTCCGCATCTGACGGAAGTGTCACAAGCTTTCACACAGATATCTTTCAAAATAAAAGTAGAATCAGAAAAAAAGAGAATTGCGTTGTTGTTTCTTTGACTGGACATATGCGACTCACTCAAAACGGTCTTGCAACTCACCAGTTGAGCAACATCAAATCTATATTTACTATGCTCCGATCACTGCTGAAGCTGATTCGGCACTTGTACATTTCCGCACTCGTTTGACTTGCGCCTGACGCTGAGGTGAAGTTGGAGTGCGCGTCTGAAAAGTCTCACGTTTTTTGTGGTCGTAAGATACGGTTCTGTGTTTTAAAAACGCAATTCTTGTAAAAAAAAAAAGAAAAAAAGAGAGAGAGAGACAGAGACAGAAACGGCAGTTGTGAGAGGGGTGGCCAAAGGGGTGGCCAAGCTTAAGCCAAGGGTGGCCATGGCCACCCCTGGCCACCCCCTGGCTCCGCCACTGCTTTTGGGCAGGTGTGAATACAGCAATCGAACTCTGGTGCGGACCAAACAACCGAACCGAGACCCAGCTGAAGAGGTGGTCTCGGTACGGTTCCAAACGAACTCTGGTACGGTTCGTTTACGGTGTGAACATGAACCGACCCGATTGCAAGAAAGCACTGCGCCTTTTAGTTAAAACGCTTCCGTAGTCGGAGATTTTGGCATAATGGTTTGTGTTATTGTTGTTCAAGTGCGAAAGAGAATTCCATTCCGGCGCGCTGTCTGGCCACACGATACTGTTGCGCATCTTTCTGCGCGTCGTGTGTGCATCATTGGAATGGAATGAATGAATGAGTGTGTGCATTCAGGACATTAAAATACAGAGCGTTCTCTTCAGTTTAATCGCGCATAGATGCAAAAAAAGCTTTTGCAGTTCATAATGTAACGATAGTTACAATACAAGGATGATGCTGCGTTAAACTGGACAAACTTAATCGCAAGCGTTAACATTGACAGCACTTGATAGCAGTATACAATAAGAATCTCATTATTTGAATGTGTGAACATAGCCCCTCTCTATGAATGAAAACTTTATACCTTATCCGTCTTCTGTGCAGTTTCTTCATATTGCGTTTGTACAGAATAACACAAAATTAGTATAATAACAAATATTGCAGTACGAAATATCTCCATGCTGAGCCTTTTTTGCACTTCCTGATTTCCCTACTTGAGAATCCTTGTCCAATGAATGTACGACCTTAGCACACGTGTGGTTTTGTTTACAAATTTTGGTTCACTTGCAAAAAGAGCAGTGTGAAAGCGAACCGTACCAAAAAAAAAAAAAAAAAAAAATTTATTTGGTCCGGACCAAAGCAAGTGAACTATCGGACTTTCCTGGTGTGAATACATTTTAAATATGTATATTTTAAGGTCTGTGCAAGGTCTGTGTCGTGTCGTGTCTTCCCCCTCGGGGTAGTTTTGTTTGTATTTTGTTTTCTTTTTTGCGTAATAAAAGCCTTATTTCTTCTGCGTTTGAGTCCTCGCCTCATCTCCTACAGTTGGTTTGGTCACATCATTAGAAATAGTGATGGCAAAATGAGGCTTAAAGGAACACTCCACCGTTTGAAATAGGGCTTATTCACATTCTTTCCTACATTTAGATAGGTGTGCAAATGCATTTTTGTCTCAGTGCATGCATTGTTTTAGTTTGACAGGGTCGGCGCTAGCTTAGCTTAGCACAATGAATGGAATCCTTTGTTACCAGCTAGCATGTCCTGAGTAAAAGTGATAAATTAAAAAAACACAAAAAAAACACGTAATTACTTCTTTTGGCCTGCGTATTCACAACGAGTTAACGCCCAAATGTGGGAAAGAATGTGAATAAGCCCTATTTCAAAAAACGGTGGAGCTTCATTCAGCATTGCTCACTAGTGGCCCCTAGCTACTGTGCAAAGAAATAGCAAACAAACTAATTAATTCTGAACCAAAGACCTGAGCAGACTTTTGTCCATTGCCTGGGTATAAAAAAATATATGTATCTTTCTCTGTCTGAATTTACTTGTGCAGAGACAACTGTCACACACACAGTTAATTAAATATTCACAAATTGTTTGGATAGTGACAGTATGAACACCAAAATTGACACTGTGTTGGGTGCAGTGCAATAAAGTAAACTGCAACAGAATAGTCTGGGGTGGGAAAAGTTCAGAATTGTTTTTGTGCGTTGAACTGTTACTAGTTTTCGGTGGGTGAAGGAAGGATTACAAAAGTATAATTTTTTCAAGTGTGTTGGGGTTTAGACGATTCCTCTCCTTGGACAAAACCTCTCCAGCCTTGGAAAAGATCCTTTCACAAGGGACAGAGGATTCAGGGGGACATAAACATGCCAGTGCCAGCCGGTATAAACGAGGACACTGATGCTTCTGTTGTTGAGCCCAGACGGGGGAGGATCTCCTCTTTCTAACTCCATTACCAGGAAAAAGGAAGAGTCACAAAAAGCAAAACAATTCAAAAGGGCAATCCAAAACAAAAAGCAGTCCAGTCCAGATCCAAAAATCCAAAGCAATCCAAATAATCTTATCTAATTAACAAGACTATAATATAGCTACTATAATTAATAATAACAATATACACTCACCTAAAGGATTATTAGGAACACCATACTAATACTGTGTTTGACCCCCTTTCGCCTTCAGAACTGCCTTAATTCTACGTGGCATTGATTCAACAAGGTGCTGAAAGCATTCTTTAGAAATGTTGGCCCATATTGATAGGATAGCATCTTGCAGTTGATGGAGATTTGTGGGATGCACATCCAGGGCACGAAGCTCCCGTTCCACCACATCCCAAAGATGCTCTATTGGGTTGAGATCTGGTGACTGTGGGGGCCATTTTAGTACAGTGAACTCATTGTCATGTTCAAGAAACCAGTTTGAAATGATTCGAGCTTTGTGACATGGTGCATTATCCTGCTGGAAGTAGCCATCAGAGGATGGGCACATGGTGGCCATAAAGGGATGTGAAGTGTTGGACTAAACGGGTATCCGGGGACCTCCCAGAAAAGGTCCTAAACACCATCACTGAGGCTAGAGCACCGTCTACAAGACGCCTCTATGCTCTGAAGTGTTATATTCTATAACCTGGAGGTACCTTGCCTGCAGGCCCGGGTCCTCTCAGTATGATAATTAGACCCGGCGGTGTCTGGTCTTATCCGTATAAGATGTTACTGTCCATAAGCACAAGTTGTCCTACGACTACAATAGGGATTAATGCCGGCTTGGGGATCTAGTAATATTGCCGTGTTCAGTCCCGGAACGCGTGCTGTGTGAACAAAAGCCGTAATCAATGCCGTGTCGTAATGATGAGGCTAAAGTGAAGTGAAAGCAGGCTAGTGAAACGATACGTAATGTGCTAGTTTATGATCGAATCAGAGAAAAAAAATGCACAAGCGTGAGAGAGAGAGAGAGAGATCGCAGCTCATAAGCAAACTGCTGAGACATTACATGTCACATCGATGTCACGTGTCTTTACGGGACTTTTACGGGTTGTGTGTGACAGCTCTCTGATTCCGGAAAATCACTGGCACTGTGAATGAACCAAAATCAAACGAACCCGGGTCAAATCCCGGGTCACTTTATCCGTGTATTTTCCGGAATCTCTGTGTGAAAGGGGCTTCAGGGAACCGAGGTTACGTTAGTAACCGAGTACGTCTTTTTTCTCCGTGGTCATATTTTAATATTCATGTGTCTGTTTTCCCCTACGCACCTGACTTAGGTTGAACCGAGTGTACTCGACACCTGAAAATATTATACTCAGTTGAGTTCCCTCTGAACACGGAGGTTGACGCCTAAGAGTAGCTATTCTTACCGCAAAATTAAAATGCCCAAGAATTAGTTACATGACCACAATCTAACCCCGCCTAAGAGTCTCACAAAGAGTCGAACGTCGTCTCGCCCCCTATCGACACTATCACTCGGGAATAAGGTCTTTAGTGTCTAACCTGTAACTTGTTCCACTAACTAACTTGCCGCACATCAATAATAATCAGACTTCAGACAATGCCTTTGAATATACACTCACCTAAAGGATTATTAGGAACACCTGTTCAATTTCTCATTAATGCAATTATCTAATCAACCAATCACATGGCAGTTGCTTCAATGCATTTAGGGGTGTGGTCCTGGTCAAGACAATCTCCTGAACTCCAAACTGAATGTCAGAATGGGAAAGAAAGGTGATTTAAGCAATTTTGAGCGTGGCTGTTGGTGCCAGACGGGCCGGTCTGAGTATTTCACAATCTGCTCAGTTACTGGGATTTTCACGCACAACCATTTCTAAGGGTTTACAAAGAATGGTGTGAAAAGGGAAAAACATCCAGTATGCGGCAGTCCTGTGGGCGAAAATGCCTTGTTGATGCTAGAGGTCAGAGGAGAATGGGCCGACTGATTCAAGATGATAGAAGAGCAACTTTGACTGAAATAACCACTCGTTACAACCGAGGTATGCAGCAAAGCATTTGTGAAGCCACAACACGCACAACCTTGAGGCGGATGGGCTACAACAGCAGAAGACTCCACCGGGTACCACTCATCTCCACTACAAATAGGAAAAAGAGGCTACAATTTGCAAGAGCTCACCAAAATTGGACAGTTGAAGACTGGAAAAATGTTGCCTGGTCTGATGAGTCTCGATCTCTGTTGAGACATTCAGATGGTAGAGTCAGAATTTGGCGTAAACAGAATGAGAACATGGAACCATTATGCCTTGTTACCACTGTGCAGGCTGGTGGTGGTGGTGTAATGGTGTGGGGGATGTTTTCTTGGCACATTTTAGGCCCCTTAGTGCCAATTGGGCATCGTTTAAATGCCACGGCCTACCTGAGTATTGCTTCTGACCATGTCCATCCCTTTATGGCCACCATGTTCCCATCCTCTGATGGCTACTTCCAGCAGGATAATGCACCATGTCACAAAGCTCTAATCATTTCAAATTGGTTTCTTGAACATGACAATGAGTTCACTGTACTAAAATGGCCCCCACAGTCACCAGATCTCAACCCAATAGAGCATCTTTGGGATGTGGTGGAACGGGAGCTTCGTGCCCTGGATGTGCATCCCACAAATCTCCATCAACTGCAAGATGCTATCCTATCAATATGGGCCAACATTTCTAAAGAATGCTTTCAGCACCTTGTTGAATCAATGCCACTTATAATTAAGGCAGTTCTGAAGGCGAAAGGGGGTCAAACACAGTATTAGTATGGTGATCCTAATAATCCTTTAGGTGAGTGTACTTTAATCACTGCCGGAGGATCTCAGACAAGTTTTAAAGAGAATCCCACCAGCAAAAGGAATACAAAGGTTTTTATAAAATAGGAGCATGGCGAAAATTACATGATACATTACATAATAACTACACTTTGATTGGTTCTACATAGGCAAACCATTCTGTTACTAGGTAGAAGCAAACTCTGTTTTCTTGATTACTAGCTTCTTCATTGTTAAACACAAGTTTTCAAACTTAGACATCTAGTTTCATTTCCCCTATTTGTTATTTATACACTCACACACTCAAAGTCACGAAAAAGCATATGAATGCTGTTTCTGCAAGAAGAATAAATGTTGGTTATGATGATTAATTAAAAAATCCATCACACTGTATAATCATAATGAGTGTGTTGCAGGTCTGTGTTTTACTGGTTGTTGTCTCACTCTACAATCCCACTTTTCCACAGCTTTACTTGCTTATTTCTAGAGTCTTTTTGCAACTCTGAGGTGTGAACGACCAGCTAACACACGGGGGTTCATGACACTAAGGAATATAAAAATGATTCACTCAGACTTATGTTTTCAAAAATGTGAAAGAGGAAAACCCTGAACTCCTTATCGTTCTCAGTTACAATTTAACATTTGAATTTAGAAGTAGGCCTATAACAGTCTGATAAAACAGGTGATATACCTTTTAATATTAATATCTAATTGGGCTTAACTGGTGAAATATTTTAATATTTTGTGTAGAAAACTTTTTTTATTTTATTTTTTTTATCCCAGAACACAGGCTGAAACTTTTGCTGACAAATATTTGCGCACTTACTTTTACTTCCTCTTATCACATGTGACATCATTGACGACCTACAGTATGTGTATATAAGACACACACACCGACTCACACACACACCGACTCACTCACACACACACTCAGCAAACGCTCACACTAACATCAACTCCATTTGACTCACAGACTCTTCTCCAAGGTAATGTATTCCTGTCTTATGTATTTAGAATATCATACCTCTGATTCACATTCCCTCGTATAATTATATATCTGTACTTGTATTGTCTGTTGTCTTTTTTTGTCTATTGTGTATTTTAATACATTTATTTTTCTTTTTACTCATTCTTTTTTCTTATTACATGTGTTTTAATAGTTGTCCCTCTGTAATCTTCTGTCACAAAGACCAATTCCTCGTGTGTAAACTATAAATCTAGTTCTGAATCTGATATATAACACTTTTGAACAAAATTATGTTTGAATTCACCAGTTCTCTCTTAATTGCAGGAATGAATCAATAATAGAGATTTTCTTGGTAACACTTTACAATAAGGTTTCATTAGTTAACTAAGAATGAACAATACTTTTACAGCATTTATTAATCTTAATGTTGAAGGGTTATTTCACCCAAAAATGAAACTTCTGTCATTATTACTGTCGTTCCACATCCATATCAGACCTTCATCTTCAGAATACAAATTAATATTTTTTTCATGAAATCCGAGAGCTGTCTGTGCCTCCATCGGAAGCAACGCGATTTACACATTCAAGGTCCAGAAAGATCAGAAAGACATCATTAATACTCAATGTGACTCCAGTGGTTTAACTTTCATTTTATGAAGCGACGCGAGTGTTTGTTTGTGCGGAAAAAACAACATAATTTACAAAAAGCTCTCGGTTTCATTAAAAAGATCTTCATTTGTGTTGTGAAGATGAACGAATGTCTCACAGGTTTGGGACGACATGAGGAAGAGTAATTACTGACAGAATTTTCATTTTTGGGTGAACTAATTAATTTACTGTTATTTCAGCTTTTACTAATCCATTATTAAGTAGTATTAAGTAGTACACGGGCCTCGGTAAAAGGGGACTGTATGATACCATTTAGACGTACCACCTTTGGCCAAAATACAGTATCAATAATAGGTGGTAAATTATGGAATAACTTGCCCCTTTCGATACGAGAGTGTCCTACATTCGACACCTTCAAAACTCGAGAACCAGAGATGTACAAATGTTACACATTTATCAGCCATACACTATCATTGTTAAATTATATGTAGTATAGTGGTGAATGTATGTCTTTGTTATCATGTATTTTTTTGTTTGTATTTATGCTTTGTTTGTAATATCAATGTATATTCTTATCTATGTGTATTGTTGTTATAGTGAATGAATGCTGAATGACTGTTGGTTATCTTTTTGTTAGTTTTTATGTTACCGGCATAGGGACTGCAGATGAAAAGTAGTATCTTTTTACTAATTCTGGCATATTTACATGGTGTATTATTACACATCATGTTCATGAATATGCATGGTCCCTATCAAATAAACTAATAAATTAAAAAATTAAACTCAAAAGTTGTTAACATTAGTTAATGCACTGTGCAACTAACATGAACAAACTATGAATTCTTAACTAACGTTAACAAAGATGAACAAATACAGTAACAAATGTATTGCTCATGTTAGTTAATATATTAACTAATGTAGTGAAACCTTATAAAGTGTTTCCATTTTCTTTGTATTGCAATTAAACAAGTCAAATGTACTTTTCTAGGATTTTATGGTTTGTGACAACAGATGCAATCTCTGAATCTAAATGTTTATGTTACAATAATATCCCCAGATCCTAAAAATGCTGTTATTCGTGGTGGTCTTGACTCTCACACTCCAGCCGGCTCTGGGTCAGCGCTGTGTTAATGACGGGGATAAAGCTCTACGTGCAGAACAATTTAACACCTTCATTACACAACACATACACAAGAACATCCCAAACAGTGTCGACATCGGCCAATGGCAGAAGTTCATTCGCAACATTAACACCTTGCACAGGCCGATTCAGTCCTTCTTTCCCAGAGCAGAACACAGGAATGTGATAGGTGTGTGTTCAACAGCGGGAAAGATATATCCGAACACAGTAAACCTCTGCATCAGCAAGAAGCCTATCAGCTTCTACAAGGTTTACGTCGACATTCAGAAGAAGGTGGTCACAGATGTCCAACCAAAAAAACAATATGTGCTTCTTGGCTGTGAAAAAATCGAGAACAAATGTCAACCTATTCATTTTCACCCAAATGATAATAACGCTAAACCAGGTAATAATCAACCAAACTGCAGTTAATCTCTGGAACACACAAGCTTTATTCCTGATGAGTGTTTAAAGTCTAGAGTTGTGACCGGCAGAAATGAGATGATGATGATGTCACTCTTAAGCTTTGCTTCTTTCACTTTTATCAAACCAATGTTGAAAAGGAATTAATGTGAGGATGTCTTCATTCTGCTCACACACAGCTTTCTATTTGCCTTTTGCTTTATTAATTATCATTAAATAAAGAGCATTAAAAAAAAGTTTGGATTTTTACATGAACACACACACTGACACACACACACATACACACACACTGACACACACACACACACACACACACACACACACACACACACACACACACACACACACACACACACACACACACACACACAGTTAGTTCTTGTGTGACACAGGATAACTACGTTTTGAATAATAACAATATTTATTAAGAAATGAATCATATCACTTCCAGGGTTATTATTGTTAACTAAAGATATTAAAAAACAATATAAATATTAGATGAAAAAATATTATGTCTTGGTCAACTTATGTCTATATATTAAGTTGAAGCATCAAAATATACAGTATATACACTACCGTTCAAAAGTTTGGGGTCGGTACGATTTTAAATACTTTTAAAAGAATTCTCTTCTGCTAACCATGGCTGCGCTTATTTGATTAAAAATACAACAAAAATCAGTTCTAGTATTAAATATTATTCCAGTGTAAATCAGCTGTTTTCTGTGTGAATATATAGTAAAGTGTAATTTATTCCTGTGATCAAAGCTGAATTTTCAGCATCACCAGTGTCAGTGTCTTCAGTGTCAAATGATCCTTCACAAATCAGTATAATATGAGGATTTGATGCTCAAGAAACATTTATTATTATTATCAATGTTGAAACAGTTGTTGGTCTGTCAGTTGTACAGTTTTTTTTGTTTTTTTTAGGATTCTTTGATGAATAGGAAGTTCAAAAGACTTTTGTAACATTATAAATGTCTTTACTGTCACTTTCGATCAAATTAATTATTCCTTGATAAATAAAAGTATTGATTTCTTTCCTCCAAAAAATAAAAATAAAATTCTCACTGACCCCAAACTTTTGAACGGTAGTGTATATATATATTTGGTGAACATAAATACACATGACCGGGTCAAAGCTCAGCTCTGATTGGTCATGGTGTGAATCTACACATTACACTCCTGATTAACACCCTCAAACACACACACCATTATATTCCCGTAACAACACCTCAATGTGCTCACACTCTCTCTCACACACACACATACACTCACCAGTATATTCCCATAACAACACCTCAATACGCACCCACACACACACACACACAAGGCAAAAGTGAGCTCCATAGTTCATATTTTTGATCTCATCAGTGTAGTGTGTATGTGTGTGTGTGTGTGTGTGTGTGTGTGAGAGAGGAGTGTGTGTGTGTGTGTGTGTGTGTGTGTGTGTGAGAGAGAGAGAGAGTGTTTGTGTGTGTGTGTGTGTGTGTGTGAGAGAGAGAGCGAGAGAGAGTGTGTGTGTGTGTGTGTGTGTGAGAAAGAGAGCGAGAGAGTGTGTGTGTGTGTGTGTGTGTGTGTGTGTGTGTGTGTGAGAGAGAGAGAGAGAGAGAGAGAGAGAGAGGAGTCAGTGTGGGAAAGCAGCAGTAAAACAGTGAAACGCTTCATGACACGTTTAGACTTTCACACGTCCATGTAACGCCTGTGTGTGTGTGTGTGTGTGTGTGTGTGTGTGTGTGTGTGTGTGTGTGTGTGTGTGTGTCACGACCCAGAGTCTTGGATCACAGATTAAACTCCTGAAACTCTTCAGGACGTCCCGTTCAGAAAACACTACTCCGAGAAGATCTGACATGAAGAAGAGGATGTGCTGCTACTGTCCGTCAAAAACATGAAAAACTCTCAGAGAAGGAAAACCTCATGACATGAAGCTTATGAACAAATGTTCTTCCAGAAACAATAATTATAACGTTCAGTCAAAGTGATCTGGTCCAGAAACATCATTCATGGAAAGTTAGATTTAAAAAAAAAAAAATGTTTCAGTTGATGTTTGTTTTTAAATGTAACGGTTTTTAAATGTTTCTTGTTTCAGAAGTTCATATTCAAAAGTAACATTCCATAATGTGTGAAGAATGGAATGTTCACTTAACTTTAAAAAAAAAAACATTTTAAAAATTGGACCTTCAGAAATAATGTTTTCAGAGCATATACTTATATATATTTATTGTAAAGTTATATATATGACTCTTGTAAAGTCTATATCCCTCACAGCCTGATGGAAAACTGTACAAATCTTCATTCGATTTAGACTTTTAATATATTTGTTCAGTCATTTTTCCCATCTATAATATTAACTCTAAAGTTTCACTTCAGTCACTTCTTTAGACTCGCGTCACACATGAGATTTCTCTTTGCAACACTGTGATTCAAAGAACGATCAGAAACAAAGTTTTGAATATTTAAATATTTATTTCAAGGAAATAAGTTACAGTTGAATAGCATGTAGAATAATTTATCATAAATACTAAAAAAATAAAATACATTCAACTTCCAACAGAAGCAATTTTATATACTGTACATATTCACAAGTATTTACATGCAACGACTAAATAAAGTGAATCAGAATTTGGAGTCCATATATAAATAAAGATGTGCACAGTGATGAAGGTCTTCAGTTGAGTTCCTTCTCATCCTCTTCATCATCATCATCCTCCTCCTCATCCTCAGTGTGTGTGTCCTCAGTGTGTGTGTCCTCAGTGTGTGTGTCCTCACACAGGCAGATCGTGGCCTGAACCGGGTAATTCCTCAGGAGAACCTCCGCCTCCTGGTACAAGTAATCGAAACACTGGGATTTGGGCCAAAACAACCTGCAGAAACCAGTTTAAACAGTGAGTTAACCCTGTGGAGAAGCAGGAGATCATCTTCATCTTCATCTTCATCATCACGTGATCCACTTACTTCACAGGGTGTGTGATCATGGAGACTTTACAGTGTTGCTCATCAGATGATGGGCTTTCATAAGGCTGAGGAATAAACAGAGATTTTAGAATCTGATATTTTGCTCATACAATAATCAGAGTTCAATATTAAATGCTTATCTCATCTCGTACCTTATGCGTGGCAGTTTTGCGTCCTCTGCTGGTTTTATTGACCCAGGGTCTCCAGGGTCGCATCTCAGCGTGTAATAATCCGCGAGTCCGAGTGAGTTTCTCCATAATGTCGGTGAAAGAGAAGCTGAAGAGTAAATCCGAGCAGAATGATGTTCAGACTGAAGAAGTCTGGAGCCTTTATATACACGCACGCGCGCTCGTGACAAACGCGTTCACGCCTCGCGTCTGACACGCGCGCTGGTGAAGGTGTGATGATGTCACACTCCCGCCAAACACATGGCCAGCTGACACGTTCACTGAGAACAACTCTCTTTAATAATAAACAAAACTGAATTTGTACTTAAACACAATTTCAATGTCTGCAAATAAGAAAGCTATAACCATCTAGAATTTGTGCTATGTTTAAAATTCTTTCATAATATGGTTTTATTCATTTTTGTGCCCCGCTTGTTTTTCTTCTTTCTTGGCAAATCATTTTCAGTAAATAAATCAGGCTTCTTTGTATTATTTTTCTTGTGGACTATTGAACTATAACTTGTTTTTTTGTCTGAAAGTGTGTCTGATTTTGTATCTTATGTTTGTTAAAATTTGCAATAAAAAAAAACTCTCTAACAGTAACGTTAGTTTGTTGACGTTTTTATGTGTTTCCATATTTGTTTCAGAATGAACATTCAAAAGTAACATTTTTGGTTCCAAAATGATCAAATGGAATGTTCGTTTAACGTGTGTGTGTGTGTGTGTGTGTGTGTGTTACCAAGAAAATAAAAACTAAGCGCCCAGGGAACATGCAGAAAAACACTTTCATAACTTTCTTGCAACCCATTTTGCTCATTTACAGGTATGGCTTTTTGTTTATTGATTTAAATATGATGATTTGGTGATAATGAGGAGGTGTGCTTTAACTGGGGTTCTTCATTTTAGACTCACACTCAGGACCTTCGGGTCAAAAATGACCCGGAGGGCGGCATTAAGATACATTTTATTTGAGTAAAATCAATGAAATATATTTTTGTTCAATAATATTTTTTCTTTTCTTTTTTGGTGTTTTGAGATAATTTTATGATTTATAATTAATATTTATGCAATAATTAAGACCCATTTTTCCCATTGAATATAATAGAAAATTTATATATATATATATAATTAAAAAAAATATATTAAAGCTGTATTTCATTTTAGGAGTCAAGTCTAGGCCTCATGAAAGCAATTTTTGAAATGAGACCGGAGCCATCTGGTGGACACATTGAGCATTTTTATCACGCAATAGCACATTTTTACCACTAGTGGATTTACAGCTCTCTTTGGAAACCCTATGGTAGAAACACTCTAGTGATTTTTTCACATATTGTTTAATTTTTTTCAGGTTGTTGATTTGAATATATAATAACAGATTCTCAAAGACTATTTTTGTAATTTTTTTTAAAAAAATTAAATTTTTTTTTTTTTGGGTTGGTTTAAAGCTGCAGTCCGTATCTTTTCCTCTTTGTCGCCATCTCTCTGTTCGAAATCTGTAACTGCAGTGATTGGCTGAATTATCATCTTTATGTGGGTTGTAAATCGGCATGAAACAGCGCGGATGAACACAGTGCTTTGAGGCGAGTGCTGCTGTCAGTCACCGCGCTGTGTGGATACTGTCATACAGAATCACAGATTCACTTTTTGAAAGTTTGACCAACATAAGAATTTTCATAAGAAAATGTCTTCTGAACAAGTAAGTAAAATCCATTTTTGTTCTGACCAACTAAGGGGGAAAAAGCATTCGACATGATAAGCTTCGTTAGATTTAATCAGCGCGATTTACAGCAACCGTGCAAATTATAGCCTACTTTGTTCTCAAATTGTTCATGTTAACAACATCAGCATTGCGTGACTAATGTTAAATTTAATGTGTTTTATGGTTACCTGTGTAGTTCAGAATTCATATTCTCCATAATAGCAAAACGAGAAAGGCACAACAAAGGAAACTCCATAACTGTGAATTAAGAAAACGTACTGTTACACGATTGAACTATTGAAATGTCTTACTTGTTCAGCAGAAAAAAGCCGTCTCTTCTTCCGTTTCGAACCCCTTCAAAACACGGAGTTCAAGCACTTTTCAAAAGCCCCGCCGATGTTTAAATCCTTGTGTTCGCATGAGACGGTTTCTTTCTCTTTCTCTAGCCACCTTAAATCCGAAGTACGAAGTCTTTTGGGTTTTATAACTGCTGAATCTCCAGTTGACACTGATGATTGTTGTTTGGATCGTTCTGGATGCCATAAGTTTAATTATGTAAAGTGCTGCGAGAAAAGCCTATACATCTAAACATCTCGTCACGCGCAGTATAGCCGGCTAGCCGAAACTCCTTCTTTATGTGTACGGGTGTGACGTCATGACGCAAAGACATGCTCGAATTCCCCGCGGAAACCCACCAGTACCACTGGAATTAAAATCATTATTACAAGCTAACCGTTTTGAATCTAGCTATGGCAAGCAGAGAGTTTTGACCACTGGCAGAATACGTTTTTTTTAATATAATTATTTTGGATTATTTTTAACTTAAAAAAGTTACGGACTGGAGCTTTAAATGGTAATTTGAAGTGGCAGTTTTACTTTATAATACAGTCAAACCTGAACATTGCATTATAAAGAGAACAAATGGAAAACATTTTGTCACCCATTGTTTTAAGAGATTCACCCCTTCACTGTTGTGTGCTTTTTTTTCTGCATCATGGCTGTTTTGTAGATTGTATGCACAAAAAAACTCTGTATTTTCACATTTTTGCCAATTTCCCATTCATTTCCTATGGGGGTCATTTTTGACCCAAAGGTCCTGAGTGTGACTATTTTGTTTTAAGACCACTTAGACTTTTCAAATCCTGTCCCCAATTTTTTTGGGTGTTTAAATCCAAGTACCAAAAAAGTCACCAAGTTTCGGACCATTCCGATGAAGCTACAATTTTTAACATTTTTTTAAAAAACGCTTCGGGGCATTTTTGTCCCGAAGTACCCCAGAGGGTTAATCACATGTGGTATTTATCACTGATTTAGAGGTGTGAAAGTATGGAGGACCAACTCTACCATATTTAAAAATAAATACAGAAATAAATAAATGCTCAATAAATAAATAAGCATACAATTAATTGCCCCAAAAAATACAATAAACAAATAAATGTAGGTAGAAATTAAATTATACAGTGAGACATAAATGTATATCTCTTTTAATTAGCTTCTTTATTTATTTACCTTTGTAATAATTACCTTATTTATTTATTGTCCGTTATAATCTTCAACTTCATTTATTAATTACTTATTTTTTGAAGTATTTATTTATGTGCATGTTATAATATTTTTGTCTGTTTTATTCTTCCTTTGTATTTTTTTACCCTATTTATTTCTTCAATGCTATTTATTTCTGCCTGTCGTTTCTACATTTCTGTATGCATTTCTGCCTCATTATGCAAATGAGGAGGGGCTGTGTCTTAAGGGGTCAACTTCTGCCAAAGCATTTGCTGGATTCTGCTGAGCTCCAGGAACACGGTCGGAAAACGGGAGTTATCTGGAGACCGGGTCGCGTCGCGGAATCTCAGAGACACAATACGGAAACAAGCAAACCAAAATCAGTAGACGTGTCGGTCGGCGGTTCGGTACGGCTGTGCTGTGACTGGACCGGAGATGGAGGGTGGAGGTGGACGAGGAAAGGGAAAGCAGGTAGGAAGTGGAAATGAAAGTATGATGAAGAAAAGGAAGGCTAGTATATTAGGAGTAAGTAGTAGTTCGGAAATGAGTGGTGAGGAGAGTGAGGCAGTTACACAAGAGGATCGTGAGAGTGACGAATATAAAGTTGTAATCAATTTTCGAGAGGAAGGCGGAGTAGGAGGTGTAAATCCGGTCAGATTGACATCGGCATTAAAGAATGCGATAGGTGATATCGTTGCAGCAAGGGTGCTAAGAAATGGTAGTTTAGTGGTTACATGTAAAGATAGTAATCAAAGAGAGCGGGCACTGAAGTTAGAAAAGCTGGGACAATTTCAGGTGGCAAAGGTTGAAAAAGATCAGGGAGGGAAAAGATGGAGTAAGGGGGTGATTACAGGAATTCCGGTGTGTGTACAGATGGAAGAAATCAAGAATAACATGAGAGGGGGAAATCTAATGAGTGCACAAAGATTACAAATAACAAGAGATGGCATTAAGGAAGATAGTCAGTCAGTTTTGTTACAGTTTGAGGGAGGGGTCCTTCCAGGGAAAGTAACAATTGGGTACATGAGCTACTTGGTGAGACTGTACGTGCCTAGACCGCTTAGGTGTTATAACTGTCAGCGGTTTGGACATGTAGCAGTAATGTGCAATGAGACAAGAAGGTGTGCCAGATGTGGAGGAAATCATAGTTATGGTCAATGTGGGGAAGGAGTACCACCTAAATGTTGTAATTGTGGGGGTGCGCATAGGGTGGCTTATGGAGGGTGTACTATGATGAAGGAAGCGGTGCAAGTGCAGCAAGTGAGAGTAGGACAGAAAGTGTCATACGCAGAGGCAGTTAAAAAGGTCCAGAACCAGAAAGCAGGGGATGGCAGTGAGAATAATGTGAGACATGAAGCAAAGCAAGTGAAAGAGGATGAGGGAAATATGATACAAATGGATGTTAGAAAGTTAGTGACATTTATTGCTGGTGTGATTAATGGTACTGCAGATGTAAAATCAAAGACTGAAAGAATACAGCTGATAGTGATGGCAGCAGTACGGCATTTGGATGTAACAGGGCTGACATGGGAAACAGTGAGAGATGATCTCAAACATCAGTCTAGTCAGGAAACATGGGTTGGTTAATATTTATCATGGTGTTAATAATACATTGGAATGCCAGAAGCCTGGTAGCAAACGGACAAGAGTTTAAACAAGTTATTGATGAAATGTTGCAAAAGCCAGATGTTATTTGTATTCAAGAGACCTGGCTGAGGCCAAATCTGGATTTTGTGATACAAGGGTATGTGGGTGTCCGTCGAGACAGAAGCACAGGAGGTGGGGGAGGTTGTGCTACATTTATTAAACTGGGGTTGCCATATAGGATTCTGGGATTAGGGAAGGAGTTGGAGTATGTAGTGGTTGAGGTGTGGGTAGGAATGGAAAATTTAGTGATAATCAATTTTTACAATCCATGTAAAAGATTAGAATTAGGTTTAA